GTTACCGGACCATTTTGCACTAGCAAAAGAAAAGAAACAAATTGACTTTGAAAACAGGGGAATGGTTTTTCCGGCAATAGGCCGCGTGCACACAGAGAACATCAGTGAGCAGTGAGTAAAGGAAAGAAGAACAAATATCCCAATCCCACCCAATTCTCCCGCCAAGGCTTCTTACCTGTTTCAGATGCATCTGACAACAGAGGTAGAGGTGGGGGAGGAGGGGGCAAGGGTCCCGAGGCAGCAGCCCCCGTTACTGGTCCCACTGCTACTTCCGAGCCCGTGGACAACGTGCCGGAAGCCACAACCGGCAGTATGGCGATGTCCCCATCCCCTTTCTTCTGAATTTTAATGGTCCCTTGTTTTTCCAGTTCATGAATCCTTTTTTCCAGGGTAGACTGTCTTTGAATGGCTTCTTCTTTTTCTTTGACCATTTTCCTTAAGGTGTGAACCTGGGTATTTGCATCTTTGTAGATTTCCTGCAAAAGAGTCCACGGTCAAGAGTTTGTCTTCACAGGACACGCTTGCCTCTCACCACCAGATTGGCAAACTGAGGACAAAGAAAATAGCCAAAAGGAAAAAAAAGAAAGAAAAGAAAAAGGATACTCGTATAGAGGAATTCTATGGAACTCAGCCAGAACCTATAAAGTCCCATTCGTTATTGTTTGCTCACTGGCAATGCATGCAATATATGTTAGCAATTCTTATTGCTAATGTGGTTCTTTCATTTAATTAAGGCTCAACTTTCCCTGCAGGGGGGAGAGGCACAGAGCAGAGATGACCCAGATATAATTTTGGAGCTGATTTTGGGATATCCAGTGGATATTCCGGTGGTCTAGCAAGTTTTCCTTTCACTTACTTTAAAATTCATTTTAACTCTGGATACATCAGCTAGCAGTAGCCAAAGGGGCCCTACATTAGCCTTGGACGGAAGTCAGAGTGGATTAAAAATCTGCAAGATGTGGGATAGCCTGCTGAAGAGTGACCAGGGGCTGGCTGGCCCTGAACGGGTTTCCCCAGCCTTCACAATGCCCCTGGCCAAGCGCAGGACAGCCATGGCTGCAACCTTTTCCGTCCGGGAATACAGTTAACAAACGGGCCAGTGCTTCCCTCCTCTGATCACTTATTTCTGTCTAGGTTTTTAGCAGAAAACAAAGAAGTTACCATTTCAATTCAAAGGCTGTCCCAGTTCCTTTTACTGGGGGCTCACAGAGGCCCGCGAGAGGATTTTATGGCACCGACTTGCTGGGCCTCGTACACGGGACCTCTCACCACAAACCTCCAGCAGGCAGGGAGACATTCTTCACACCCTGTCTATGATTAATCATCTGAGAGTCTGCCCTTGAATTGAGTCCATATGCTACAACTCTGTCTCGATGGCGTGCCAGAAAGTAAGTTTCCTAGAGTTAACTCTAGGACATGTCAGACGATCAAGCAACACACACAGACACGATAACCATCGCATAAAACGTGCCATTTCATTAATGGTGGTGCAAAGGCAAGCCATTTGCCTGAACACCCTCCAGGCATTTCGGTGGTTTTATGTTCCCTACGATTCTAAACACACGGATGGGGCTCCATAAATACCTGACACGGAAGGTAAAACAATGCTAGCGCCAAATCAAATAGCTGTGCTTATCTGATAGTAAAATGGATTGGTTTTGCTTTGCCTTTTTTTCTTTCCTTTTTTTTTTTTTTTTTTTTTTGTGAATGCCATTAGGTCTCGCCTGGGTTGCGATTTCACCATTTCCATGGCAACCACCAAATCTGGTTTCACATAGAAGTGAAGCCAAGTAACAAAGAAATGCAAGTTCTATTGAAAATAAATAAGTGGCATGAATTAAATCCATGCTGTATTTTTATTTCTAACCAAATGAGGGGTCTACATAATCAACTCCGACTCATCCAGATGGGAAAATATCGTTGCTCCCAAAACCTGTGATAAGGACATACTGCCCGGAGCGTTTGCTTGCACACACACGTGTAAAGCCCACAACTGTGCACTTTTCTTGGAGGACCACCGCGGAAATAGTCCCAACAGATAGGCTGCCCCAGTACATTCCTCTGACATGCAGGCTCGGCCAGACGAAGGCCGGAGTGCCCTCCCCACGGTGCCCACGGGGCCGCTGTCACCGTCACACTCACTCGGACCACATCCAGCTCCTTGTTCCTCTGCATGAGCTGCTTCTCCAGTTCCACGATCTTGGACATGGCTTCGTTCTCCGTGTCTTGCAGTTTTTCAGACAACTGTAAGGTTTGAAAGGGAGGCCGTGTCACAACCCAGGGTCACCCTGATCAGCGCCTGGGTCCTCAGCAAGTGGAGTCGCTCAGAGCCCGGAAGGGGCCCGTCACAGCCCTGTGTGTGCTCCACAGGCTGTTTTACGGAAATGTTAATATTTATGTAATGGCTCTGAATACATTCTGTTTTTAATGGGAATTAATTGATATACGGTCCTTAATAAAACCCATACGTTAATTCTTTCACGTCTCTCTCCATTTCTGCAGGGGCTGGAGAAGAACGGGTGAGGGAGGAGGAAGCCCACCTTTCCCCCCGAGAAAAGGTTTTGAAAACTGTTGATCCAGAAAACTCGGCTGTGTTATTACAGGTAACCAGTTGAAAAAATACGACTGCTTGTTTGGATCCAAACTACCCAAATATTAAAAGCCACTTTGGAGGGGCCGTTCAAGCACACAGGTGGCCTGCTACAAAAGTGGGTGACACAGGTCTGGTCGTGCAATGCTGGCAGAGGCTTCCAGAGCAGGACCGGGTGAGCCATGGGTCAGACAGTTACCCTCCACGTGAGGCTCTAGAACTGAGCAGCTTCGCACTTCTCAGCTCTCCCTGAAAGCGATCGCAAGTGAAGAAAATCAGGGAGGCAGGGGGAAGGGACGAGGAGAGACTTACATCGATCAGGTCAGAATACCATGCAAATCTCTTAAGGCAGTGGTCGGCAAACTGCGGGCCCTTGAGTGTGGCTCTTCTACAAAATACCACATGCGGGCGCGCATGTACAGTGCGATTGAAACTTCGTGGCCACACTCAAGGGTCCAAAGAGCCGCATGTGGCTCGCGAGCCGCAGTTTGCTGACCACTGTCTTAAGGGAAGAAACACTAAGCCTGTAAATGCTCTTCCCAAGCAGGTGTCTGCCAGGCACAGCCCGCGCTGGGAGTTCTGGCAACTTGGCTTAACCACAGCCACGAAGATGCACATGTGCAGAGTGACGGGAAAAGGTGAAGGACATTAAACACAGGTAACACTAGGAACTAAGAAAATGTGGAGGAAAAGAAATGTTCAAAGGGGAAAATAAATGTCCCTCCAAAAGAGATAACTCTTTTCATAATCAAGGACACTGGCAGGATCCAGCAGAAGAATCGAGTCCTCACAAGGCCTGGGTTTTTAAGCAGCACCGTTTTTCCATTCATTCTTGCAGTATTATACAGTATCAGCTGCGCGGATGAACAAATGAATAACCTCTCATCCTCCTGGGTCCACAGCAAGAAAACCCCCTGAATGGAAAACGAGTCCCAGCCCTGAGACAGTGCAAACATCACACTGAGAGGACATGCTGCCTGAAAGAGCAGGCCATGTGGAAAGTGCACCGATTCCCCTGAAAAGGCTCATTGTTGAAGCGAATCTATTTAGAACCTGAGTAGCCACAAGGCAGGAATGAGCAGACCGGCATCAGGAAGCCACCAGACGCCCTGTCCACGGGCTTGTGTGGACACATTCGGTAGAAGGTGACTCATATTCAGAAGAAACTTATTCACCTCGGGCCAAGTGCACATATTTGAGTCGCAATTCCCTCTAGGTCAGTGGTCGGCAAACTGCGGCTCTTGGCAAACTGCGGCTCACGAGCCACATGCAGCTCTTTGGCCCCTTGAGTGTGGCTCTTCCACAAAATACCGACTTCTGCGCATGGGCCACGAAGTTTCAATCGCACTGTACGTGCGCGCCCGCACGTGGTATTTTGTGGAAGAGCCACACTCAAGGGGCCAAAGAGCCGCATGTGGCTCGCGAGCCGCAGTTTGCCGACCACGGCTCTAGGTAATGCTTATCACGTAGCTCTCCTGTGCCGACAGCAACGTGGCCAGGGAATGTGGACTCGGCAGACACAGGGCAGGTGTGCTAAGTCGAGGCCACGATCCCACGGAGTGTGAAGTAACGCACCTGCCTTCCTGAGGGAACCCCGAGTGGCCTCTGACAGCTCCCTAGCTCATCCCTACACTCCACGTCCTGTCATTCATGGCCACCAACGCGGACACTTATTCTGCTCTGCACCCCTTGAAACACAGACATGTTTTCCTTTTCTGGGAAGTAGTTACATGAGAGAGGTTTTCTTCCAGCTCCTCCACCCTTTCCAAGGCTGCGTTCTTGGTCTCGGCGTCTTCCAGCAGAGCTCCCACGTCAAACACGTTGTCCAGGTACGCCTGGATCTGCACCTGCAGCTTGTCACTCTCCGTGTGTTTCAGCTTCTAAACATCAAATGGCAAGAGCAGGGGGGTTAGCCTATCTGTGAAAACAGAACATAACTGCCCAACAGCCTACGTAGTTTTGTTGGTTCCACATAGTCTAGTCCAGCGGTTCTCAACCTGTGGGTCGCGACCCCTTTGGCAGTTGAACGACCCTTTCACAGGGGTCGCCTAAGACCATCCTGTATATCAGATATTTACATTACGATTTATAACAGTAGCAACATTACAGTTATGAAGTAGCAACGAAAATAATTTTATGG